TGACAACAATTATTTTATTTTATTGAGATTAGTTTTTGTAATAATACTGAGACAAATGTATCGCAGTAAATGATCAGAATAATCAATTACTTTACTAATCGTCTTACCTGGAGGTGGGCGCCGGGCTGGGGCTGCGTTTCCTCTTCAGCTGCCTCCCCCCGCTGTCCCGGGACCGAGGCAGGTTCAGCTGCCGGGCGTAGGGCGACGGCTCGGCGCTGAGAGGAAGCAGAAAGAAAACCAAACAATCAGGCTGTAGAACCCGGAAAGATCAGAACAATATCAGAACAATCAGAGCAAAAACTCTCAGAACAATCAGACCAAAAACTCTCAGAACAATCAGACCCATAATGATCATTTTAAATCATCTACAGCAAATTACACTACATTGAGACTACAACAGAATTTCCACCTAAAAATATTTAACTTTTAAAATTACAAGAAATAAAGATAAAGACTATGATTCACTGATTGTCAGATTAATCAATTATGAAAATAAACGATTTGTATTTTAAAGAACTAAAACCATTAGAACAGTTTTATCCTAATTCGATTTTTTATGTGCTGATTTAACTTTTTTACACTTTAAAACAAACAGAAACATTTCCACCTTCAGATTCTGTTACCTGGGATCAAACCTGTGCACCACGTATCCGAGGCGCTTCAGATGACCGAACACCTTCGTTTTAGAGGAAGAACGATCAGATGAGCGCAGACATGAACGTTCCAGCGTTCAGAGTCATGACTGCACCTGATACTGCTGCAGACTCACTGAGTCCGAGGACAGGAATGCCTCGTAGCCGTCCTGGATGGACAGCGGCAGGTCCTGGTGGAACAGCTGCAGGTTGCCCTGCACCCGAGAAACACACACAGGTCATCCAGAGGCGCCAGCAGAGCCAAACCTGAGCAGCATCTCACACACTCACACACTCCATCAGGTAGAGCGCCTCTTCAGGCAGGAGGAACTGCTTCCCTTCTGCAGAGAAACCCATCGTCTGCCAAAACTTGCCCTGAAAAAGATCATATAAAACAAGTATTATTAGCTTCCAGAAACAACAAAGTAACAATTTACAGCAAAATCTGAAATTATTTTTACATCTTTTGTTCAACTTTAAATACTATCAGAAAAAAACAACAGAAAAAAAATCCCAAAATTGACACTTTTAGAAAGAAATTTTTCTATCAACACAGATAAAAATACAATATTTTAAAAAGCAATAAAAGGTGCCAGAAATGAATAGAAAAGTTAATTAAACAAAAATCAAATCAAATCTCGGTAATAAAGATAAAATAATACAAAATAAAGAATACATAAAATAAAGTAAACCTAAAAAAGACATAAGTAATAAAACAAATTATTCAAAATGAAATACCAATGTGGAAGATTAAAAGAAAAAATTAAAACTGAAACAATATCAAATAACTCCCACTGCCAAAACAAAAATAAATGAAAATCAAGCTACATAAACTGAGGAAATATTTCATAAATAAAAAAATTAAATGAAATAAATAATTCAAAGGAATCAAGAAAGATTATTTAGTCAACAAAGAAAAACAGGCCAAAAATTTAAAAAAGTCAACTAGTTGTTAAAGAAAATGCAAAGAAACTAAATTTTCTAAATAAAACTGAAAATTATTCAAAATAACAGAACACAAAGTAAAATTCTGACAATTTGTTTTGTTTTTGGCTGGTAAGCAGCTGACTGTCGAGCAAACCAAACAAACAAAAGACGATAAAAATAAGAAAAAAACATAATAAAACTATACAAAATAACAGGATCGTTTTAAAAGAGAATATCAATAATTATTATAATTAAAATACAACAAAACAAAAAAATTAAGAAAATCTGAAAAGATCCACCTAAATAATAAAATTATATTAAACAAAAAAGAATATAAAATGTAATAATGTAAAAAATAAACTAGCAATAATTATTATAATTAGTATTATTAAAAACAGTCTAGATTGATTGCATAATATTCTAAAAAAGAAATGACAAATGCAAACATTTCTGGCAAGTTAACTGCTAACTCCTAATCAAACCTTCTCAAATTATATATTTAGTTAATTAGTACAGAGCTCCAAAAGTCTATCTTTTTCCCATCATGCACTACTTTTCAGCAAAAGGCGGACGAATTAAAAAACCCACAGCAGGAGTCTGAAGCTCCACAATCCGCTCACTGGGACTCCAGATGGCTTTCACCAGGTTTCCTCTGCAGAGACAGAAAAACAGACGAAACTGAGCTGAAACCCTTTTTGATAAAATGATAAAAAGCCACTGATTTAAAGTGAGGAGTCTGGTATTTCACTGACAGCCTCTCGACCCGCTCCTCTGAAATGAGACTCCAGTGTTCGTCCAGGCTCTGCTGCAGTCGCTGCTTTTGCTCCTCCGAGTCGTCCGGATAGAAATCCTTCTGCCCTCGGGCCGGGATCTTATGGCTCCTGGAGCGGGCCGCGAACAGCTCACATGGACTGCAAGTTATTTACAAACACAACAATGAAACTCAGTCACAGCAACTTCCTGTTTCAGACAAAATTCACCAAAAGCTACAAAGTGCAACTTACAGAGCGCCAGAAAGCTGACTGTTTCAACACTATCTGATATTTATACACGCTAACTATTTATTAATGAAAACACGCTGACATTAAACAAATTGGTAGATTTCAGTATTAAGAAATTAAATTCTAACCACAAGATTGAATGTATGCAAGAGAGAATCGTTTTTTAAAATTATTTGTAAAAATGATTTAAAAAAATAAAGTGAAGATGCATCACTCCCAGACTTTAATTTGATTTAATCGTTCCAAAAAAAATTTAATTAATCAGTATTATTGCACATAACTTATTTGAACATTTAAGATTCTTCTTTTTTCTTATGTTTCTTAATTATTTAAAATAAAAGCAGCTAACAACTTTAATTTTCAGAATACAAAACAAATGTTTGTTGTTTTTTTATCTTTTAACAGATAAAAACACTGTGTTTTTATCTGTTAAAGTCTCACTTTTATTGAATACTTCAATAAAAATGTGAAAAGGTTGTAAATGTGCAGCAGAGTTGAGTGAAAGAAACAATCACAATATTGAGCAGTTTGTTAATTATTATTATTCAAACTAACCATCTAATTTCTAAGATCACATCTGTTTCAAACAAACTGAAAGCACAAATTAAAATAATTAAAAAAACATCTAAATTATTCTAAAAAAAATCTCAAATTAAACTTTATGGGATCAAAATGACACTTTTTAAATTATCTTTGCAAAACTAATTTGCTCTTATTGAATTTTATAGCTTCATTATTAACATTTTCTCCCTTTAAGTCGTTTTATTGTAGAGAACCAAGTATGTACACCTAGTGAAAATATTATAAAATATTACATGTTCAGTTGATATATTGCTGCAAAGCTTAGCAATATTAATCAACACCACCACATTTATACAAAAATAAAATAAAACAAAAGGAACATAAGTTCAAGAACATTTAGAAACACGGATAAAACCTTTGCACAGCTAACTGGATATTTGCCTTCTTTGGCATTTATTCATCACCTGTTATTTAAAACAATAACTCTGCACTGACTCATTTCATTATGATTCACTGCAAAGAAACGTGATTAACTTCAAACCATGTTGATGAGAAATGGAAAGTTAGAGATCCCAAAATCAGAGACAAACATCGCAAAAGACTAAACTAATATTTTAAACTGTTTATCACCTTAGAATTATTGTAATTAAACTGAACCAAACCTTAATATTTCATTGAAGAAGTTCTCTGCGGTTTCTGGCTTGTTTTGGTCCGCCATGACAGTCTGTCCGCGTTGCTTCCTGCTCCTCTTCCGGGTCCTACCGCCCGCCCTGTTCCTTAATGAAAATATGGAACGGGGCCACAGGAGGGCGTCAAATCACGAAAAAAAACTTCTCCTGGTTTTTAAGCTATATTTGGACTTTGTCCCTCTAATATCTTTAAATAATTATATGTTTTGATATATCATTTATAAAAATTTTTTTATCTGATTATAGGTAATAAAACTTAATCGGTTTAGTTAAAAGAAAAGATAAGATACATATTTCCATCATTATATGGTTCATATCTAAGCATTTATAAATGCTCAGACAGGATGGAGACACGTGTCCTTCAGCATAGTCCAAGAAGTCCAAAAAGGACTAGTTCTTATTCAAAATAAAAAAAAAAAAAATTAAACTTTGATTGAATCCATGACACTGATCTGACCGTCTGAGCTAACCGTCCATACATTATGTTGTGTCTTCATTGATCTAAGTGAAATTTACATGATTTTAACAAAAGTGCAGATTTTTTTCAAAATCTATATGCATAGTTCTTGCATATAGATTTTACATATATGAAAAAACTATAGTTTTTATATATGTAAAAACTGATTTTTTTCAGAATCTATATGCATAGTTCTTGCATATAGAAAACTATATGAAAAAACTATAGTTTTTATATATGTAAAAACCGTAGCACATAGTACTATAGTCATAGGTAAAAAATACCCTTTCTGGTTGTCAGCCGGATTAGCTAGGCACGGACGGGGTTCGAACCCGCGATCTTCGGTTTACGAGACCGACGCCTTACCACTTGGCCACCGCGCCTACCCAGAATTCTCGGACGTCATGATCTTATTTGATGGCACAAATAGTTCCAGTGATCGGTCTGTTCCAGAGTGTTTGGTTTTATTCCCTGAAGATTTCGATCTAGACAATTGCACATGATGTTAGACCAAAATCAAATCTGCAGACTGACTCATGATGCGCTCCCGCCGGTTTAAGTCTCTCTAAAGTAATAAAATCAAAACCATACTCCTCCAAATTTGATAATCAGTGCCGAATTTTTCCACAAATGTCTTAACTGATGTTTAGATAATTTAGATGTCAATTTGTGGATTTTATGTTGAACTAGAAGGTGAAATCCTTAAAATGTCAACTTTGGCAATGGACATCCTGTAGGAAAGGGGAACTTTGACAGTGGAGCACACCCGGAAGTAGATGGTTCACAACAGATTGGATTTCAACATTTCTGCTGCTGTAATCTGAGAATGTAATGCTCGGGGAAGCACGTTTGGGACGGTGGATGGATATTTATGATCTTCATGATATTTATGACCTACCCGTACTGTAAGTAACAAAGCTTAAACGTTTGTTTTAGGTAAAGGAGGAGTTTGCTAGCAAGCATGTGGCTAATTAGCACGGGTTACAATGCAGCTCCAGAAATGACAACATCGTGAAAAAGTTCAATATTTTTTGTTAATTATTTGTGAAAGACAAATAGATTCATTACACACAAAGTGAAGTCTTTAAGACTTACTTTCCCAAAGATACAATACAAAGTAAACTCTAAATTCCGCCTCAGAAATCTAGAATACTAATAAAATGTACGTTTTAAACAGAAATGCCAGGCTTGTGACAAGTTTGTTTATTTGTATGAAATCATGCTTGGTTGGGCTCTTTTGGCGTTAATTTCTTTTTGGAGGATAACAGAATATGGTTCTCCCGAGGAGTGATTTCTTGATTTTCTGGTTTAAAACATTTCACACGAAAAATCAAAACGTCCCCATATGTTTTGCGTAAATACATAATTGACAATTGTGTATGTGTTGCAAAATTTCCGCATAAATTGTCGAAAACATTGGGTTAAAATGACGCTAACTACCATCAGCAGATGGCAGCATTTCTGACTTTCACTCGTCCCTCAGGCTGATTATATGCAGCCTGCGGTCGATGTGGTGAGTAATAATCGGTCACATTTATTGAGATGCAACTTCTGAGTTTGAAAAGTCAGAAATTAGCTTGGAAAAACACCCAGGAATTTTCGAGCTGAATATATTAAATTTTTTCTTGAAAAACCAAGAACATTTCTGAGCTCAGAAGATTTTTTGATTAATTTCAGACGTTTTCTAAAATAAAAAACAAGAACATTTTATAAGCTCCAAAAGTTTGAAAAAAATCTGAAATTTTGAGGTTAATCTAAAAAATTTCCAGAAAAAGTTGAATTTTCTGAGTTTCAAAAGTCTAAACTTTTACTTTCAGACATTTTCTAAGTTTCTAAAAAAAATTCAGTTATTTTTTTTAAAGAAATTGTTTGACTTTGGGGCTCAAAAATGTAAAAGTTGTTTTCTAGGCTATTTTTGAGATTAATCTAAAAAAAAAATTTAAACTCAGAAATTTCAATATGGTTTTTCCAGAATATTTTTTACTTTGATCTAAAAATTTCTGAGTTGTGTGGTGGAAATGTACTCCTCTTTTGTTTCTATCTGCAATTGCCTCATTTGACATCTTATTTGAACTCAAATATGGTACAATTTCCTGTAAATATTTCTAAAGTAGCCGCAGAAAGTCAGTGATGTTTATTGCAAAGAAATTCCAAAATCCTGGAGGAACTGATCAGTGTGAACTAAATTTTAAGACTCTTTTTAAAATGAGCTTTACGCGTAGCTCCAGCTGAATCGTTGCGTTCCTTCCAGGCTCTGACGGAGCCACTGCGGCCTGCGGCTGAGCCTCGCCCACCATGCCCCTGGTGGTGGATGCTGTGTGGGCGCTGTGGAGCATCACCGCCGGCATCTACGACTACTTCCACACTAGTGCCATGGAGGAGCGGATCCACACGCTGGAGCATGTCCTCTCCATCCACCAGTTTGTGATTGCAGGCCTGTCAGCAGGCCTCGTCCTGCTTATGGCCTATATACTACTGAGAAAACACTAAACACCTCCTGCTTGATGGTCAGACTGCTCCTGCTGGAAGTTTGACTGATGGCCCAGTCCACTGAGTCTCTGTGTTTTCATTTTTAATCTTGGTCTGTCTGCTGCTCTAACACAAAACCATGACTGGTTCTTGAAGGAGGCACTTTATCCGTTTGACAAGCTTGAAGATTTTTTAAATGTTAATATATTCATTCATTCATGTTTTAAAACTCAGCTAACTTATTTATTTCGAACAAAAGATTCATGGCCACCTCTGGATCAGCGACGTGCGGTCAGGGGAAAACTCTCCTGTAATTCTGAAAAGCAAAATAGATGCTAATAATGATGAGAAAACATAATTTTTTGTATACATTTGTTTTTTATTTGTAATATCAATAACAGCGATTTTGCATTTATGTTTTTTGATGGTAAAAATCGCTGAATTTACACATTGCCACATGAAAAAAGCGAGGCAGTGTAGTGCCGTGCCTTACCTCTGGGGGCGCTGTGTTACACACAGCAGTTGGCGCATGCCCATTACTGTTCTCTTAGTATCACTAATATATTTATAAAATAACACATGTTCTGTATATGTTGACGTTCCTCAGTCTGTTTAGTATGTTCAGTAAATGTGAGCGACACCTTTAGTTTCTCTAATTGGCTGTAAATGCGCAGTAAAAGTTCGCAGGGTGAAACAGGAAGTACCGTTCCTTAACGACAGCGGGAAATCGTTAAGGAAATTTTCAATTTTAATCAGAAAAGGAAGAAGTTAGCCAAAGAAAGCATTAAAAATTTTAAAAATAAATGTGACCTAATATTAAATAGTTTGTTTTCTTGCTATTATATTGTTGAATAGTATGGAATTGATTAAAACACAATTATAAACTTTATAAATGTCAAATCTGGAAAAATAAGCTTCTATTTTGGATTTGTACAAAATGAGTCGGTGTCTCAGCAGTTATGATCCTAACTGCACGTCACTGTCAGAAATGGCTTTTATTTCAATTCCTACATCTCAGGCACTGGTTCCAGTTGACCCAGAACTCATATCATGTTTATTATTCTTAATTATTACCTATAAACTCCGAATTAAAATGCTCTGACAAAAGTAAAATTGCTTTTTTGTGTCTGTATTTATATTTTGTGTGTTCTAAGGTTTTATGCAGTTTCCCATTGCTTGTTTGTGCCATGTGTTTAAAACGTGTCTTATTTAATTAAATTAGGTTTTATCTGCTGTAACAGGTCAGTCCCCATGTTTACTATCACTGTTCACTCCAACATGTTTGAGTGAAAACAACTATAGTCATGATATCGAAGGAAATGTGACTAATAAATGTTATTGTAATTCAGCCTCTGACTGTTTTGATTACTATTTATTTTAGTGTAATTATTTTATAAAATATTTGTTTTTGTGCTCATTGCACTTTTTTATTACATAGGAATCTATGTATGAGCCTATTCTTATATAATTATCTCAAAATTAATAAACTTTTTATACCACAGACCCAAAATTTGAATATTTTACGTTTTTAGGATTTAAAATAATAATAAAAAATAAACTTTTGCAGAAAATATAATAGATGCATTTTCTACTGATCTAAAACAATATTACTAGCATTTTTAGTGTTATTTATGTAATATCAAGTTATTAAATGAAAAGATCCAGCTAAAACAAGCATTTGTTTTTATATCTACATTTAAAACACCCGGTTATTCTTAGTTAAGGTAGAGATATTAGGAGGCACCTAACATCTCTGCAGACCACACACATGCTGGACACAAACTGTTTTGTTTTACCTTCATGTTAGCACTATCGAGATCAGATATTTTTGCACTGATTCAACTTTGTTTTTCTTCGGTGAAATCATACAGATTTAATACACTTGTTTATTTTTTTTTGTGATTACATCATGAAGTATTGATGCTTCTTGATGTTTTCCATCGACAAGGCAAACTGACCTGAAACTTGTTCGCTTCTCTTACATTTTTAAACCGTTCTACTCTGAACTCAGCACTGAAAAATATCAAATTAAAGTGAAAAGACAAAAGAGCATCACACCATCAATATCTATATGAACAAAAGGGGAGATTAATACTTCCTGAAACAGAAATAGAAATGACTGCTGCCAACATGAGGCTAAACCACTGACCCAAAAACATCGAGGACAGAAATAATTTTAGTTTGCAGTGAACAGTGATTTTAAAATGCTTTTTGGCTCCTCTGAACACAGGAGGCGACAAACGTGCCTCAACTCTGCGCCGCCTGCTTCTAATATCTGCAGCAACCAATGAGAGCTCAGCATGTCAGCAGCAAGCGCGGTGATTGGGTAAAGAAATTAGAAGGCGGGATCTCTAAACACGAGTCATCCTTCTGCTGCAGCGTACCTCATTCAAGTCACTGAAGTTAGAGGAATGAGGAAGAAATGGGACATTTTAACACTTCAGAATAAAAGCAGATCGTCCATCGCTGTTGATTTAGTTATTTTATGTAAATGTAAAATAAGCCCTGATCAAATATTGAGCGCATAGTGTTCAGTATGTGGACATACTTTGCAGTGGGTCGGTATTAATGATATTACTATCTTTTTTTTAAATCTCGGTTTCCATTGTTGGCGCACCTATTTCTACCACACTTTTCAATAAGTTTAATCGGTGTGGAGTGAAATTCTAATTTTATTAGAATCTCATTTTCAGTTTTGTTGTCATGATTTTTAAGGCTGTCCTTAATGATTTAAAGAAGAAATTGATGGTAAATGTTTAGAGTTATTTTATTTTAGTCATGATGGTGTCAGTTTTTTCTATTAATTATTTTGTGATGTAATCTCTGTGTATTTATACCAGATTCTTAATTTCAGTGAGTTTATCTGTTGAAATAAAGATGATCTTGCTTTGTTTAAAACCAACCGTCGTAAAGTGAATTTAATTTTAACCATGCTTTTATTGTGAAAATATTGACCGGACGTGATTGGGGCAACGTCATGTAACACACTCGACGACAACAATGTTCATTTGCAGTTAATGATTTTCCTTAAATGGATGACGGTTCTGCCGTTGTAACGGTTTCCCGGTTCCTTCGTGTCGCCGCGGGTTTTTTTTTTACCGACATTCTCCGTGGAAACTGCGGCGATGCTAACCGGTTAGCCCTGGTTTCCGCCTCAGCTCGCCGGAGGCTGTTCTGTTGTTCCGCGCATTCTCCCACCCCCGAACCGCTAAAACAGCTTTAATAACAGTCGGACGGAACTCGGTCGTCCAGTCAGCCTCAAATTTAACATTCTAGAAATTTAGCCACACGTCTTTAAAATGAGGACTTGAGTTTATCGTTAGCGGTTGATTTTTTTTATCACCATCGCTGCCTCTTTTGTTTTGACAAAGGAAGGAAGAGCAGCTGAATTTCTTCTTCTTTATCTATTTCTGTGCCACTTCGGGTGGGGGAGCCAGCTCCATTTCTCCCCCAGCCTCTGACCTCCATGGCTCCGCACAAGCAGAGCTCCTCAGGTGGAGGCCACCACCATGTGGGTTTCGGTTCTGGAGGAAAAACCAACGGGTTGTACCAGCCGCCCTCCGCCGCAGCCAAGAAGCCCAACATGCAACTGATCCGGGCCGACCACGAGTTGTTCCTGCAGGCTTTCGAGAGTGAGTTCCAGCAGTCACCGAGCTGCATGTGTAAAGATGCACATCTGAGGGCCTGTTTTAGCACTACCGGAAGTTTGACTCTGGCCATGCAGTTGTAAAGCTGAGGGGAGCAGCTCATGCCAACCCTCCACCACTAAACCTTATTACACGTTAATAAATGACTCGAGTAACATCTGCTCCAAATCAAAGGGTATTTCACAGCTTAGTTCATTAAAACAGGTATCATGACTGAGAAGACACATACATGTTTCAGGCTAAACCAAATTAGACTATTCAAAAATGAAAAGTTTGATTTGCATACGAACTGAGAGATAAACAGTGTTTTTCCTTTCTGCAACTGGAAGGAATCCAGATTGGAAACTGGATAACCGTTTAGTCTCCAAGATCTGTGAAAATGTTGTTATATTTGCAAAAACAAAACATTTTTTGGGTAACTATTCCAGCCTGAAAAACCATCCAGGCTGGTAAACCTGAATGAAATGACTGGTTTTGATCTGTGAATTTAACTTCATGTATAAAAACACGCAAAAACTGTTATTTTAACAAGTTGAGACTGTTTTAAGTCTTACACCCAGATAATTATACTTTTACTGTCTTATTTTACACTTGAACCACCTTAGACTTGGAATATGCTGCATAAAATAATTCTGTGGGTTTCAGATACCAAAACAAAATTTTTTGTTGAAAACTACATTATTTTTATGTCTGATCTTACAACAAATCTATGATCCAAAGATGCTGTTAATAATCTTAAATTGTAATGGTTTTCTGAATGTTATACAATTTGATGCAGCGCCACAAGAACTAACCTGCTTGAATGTCTCATTTAACTTTATTGCAGATGCTTTTGTTTCATTTTTATTACATTGAACTTGTTTCACATTCCAGTCTTTGATTTAATAGCTTTTATGTCTCTTATTACCCTTTAAAAAGCGGATTAGATAAATCAGCTTGAGACAGCCTGAGACTTGGAAAAACAGAGAAAATATAGATGATTTTAAAAAATTGCTTAAAGTTTTCACTTTTTAAAATGGTGGATTCCAGTCTAAATTCGGTGCTGTTCAAACTGCACAACATTCAAAACTTTTCTGCAGCATAGAATAATCCAGTTTGACCAGTTTCTGTAGTCAAGTTTTAGTTGATCTGAGGGGATTTAAAATGGTAGGAAAGTGGAGTTTTAATCATTTTCTTAAAAGCTTGTTAATAACAGGTTGAGAGCTTTAGATTTGGAGTTTGAGCTCATCCAAGTAATCCTGATTCCTAGAAAGCATTGATCTGCTGAGTTGCAGCTCGACAGTTGTTTGGTTTCTGCTGAAATGTGTCTGAATGGCGTAGCTTCCAGTCTGTTTGTGTCATCCATTCGACGATACTGATCTGCTTTATTTGCATTCCTCTTCTGCTTTGAAGTCCAGGCAGTTCCCAGAAACACCCGGGAAGCTCACGTCTTTGTTTTTGAGACGCATTCTTCGGGTCTGCTTGTCATGAACCTTAGACATGTTTACATTTCTGTGTAATAATTCAGGAGCATTTGTATTGGATCGAATTGGAATTGATTCATCATCTTTTAGGTTTTATATCTTCATTGCTGCTGCTTGTGATGGACTCGACGTTCATGTTTGATCTCAGTGAATCTTTTTCTGGTTGATACATAAAATGTGGATCAAAATTCAAAACTCTGGATCTTACCAGAGCTGATCCAGAGTTTCTGCGCTTCCTTAAAATGCCTTCTAAATTCATGCAACTAAAATTAAAATGTCATTAAAAACATGGAAGTTGGCCCTAAATATAAACACTTGTCTTAAATTTTGTCTACTCAAGCTTGTATATTTTATATGGTTTAATATTCTCGTGAGACTTGCTGTCAGGCTACAGTTTGAGGCGTTCTGTGACATTTTCAACCAAAATAACTGATCATGTGTTGCTAACATGTTTGTTTGCAGAGCCGACACAAATCTACAGGTTCCTCCGCACTAGAAACTTGATAGCTGTGAGTTCTGCCTTTCCTTACAAGCTTCATTACCTGGAGTGCTGGAGAAGAGGATTATTAACAACACATTTTTCTCTGCTTGTTGCCTTTTAGCCGATATTCCTGCACAGGACGCTCACTTATATGTCTCACAGAAACTCCAGGAGTAACACCAGAAGGTAAGACGTTTGCAGATGTTTTTTTCAAAGCAGGCCAACTGTTATTTTGGGTGAAAATAGACAGACATGGCGGCTGCTGGAGGTGGATGGGGTAAGATCAGTTAGGAGAAGGAGTGTTTTTCAGTTGGGGCTGCTTTGCATGAAGATGGGGCTGATACACATGTAGTTTGTAGTTTGTGGTTTGCTGCAGTGAAAGGCTGTGAGGTTACAGGTGGTGTGGCGCTGGGATGTCGGAGTGCGGAGCGTCTGGGTGAAAAGTGAGCTCAGTTGGTGTAAAACATGTGGCTTAGTGAAGTTTTTTCCTTTTAGTGACGTTGGAGGGTGAAGTGTTAATGATCTGAAACTCCTGTTTCTGGTTTGCTGCGGTGAGCAGAAGCTGTTAACATATTCAGCTAGATATCGCTTCACAACTCAAATATTGTTCTGTTACTCAGTTCATGTATTTAAAAATGCCTAAAATGTATTTCCTGAGGAAACGCTGAGACAGATTACACAGCTTACCTTCAAGCTCTTAATTATGGGATTCAGGTATTTTAATGCCTTGTGCAAAATTGTATTTTTATCCTGATCA